TCTCTAGACCGCTAGCAGCTAGCAACCCGTGGCGGGACCCTTCCCCCTGCCACTCAAAGAGGCCCTGCTTTTTGATTATACAGTATGTAACTTTTATTCTCAAAATAACTTAAACCGGCGAATTATATAAAAATTCATCGCCTGTATAGCTGACACGGAAGAGACCAAACTGCTTTTTTGTACCAGGCTGTAAACATTATTATTTCTGCTGTAAAGTTGGGCAATTTAACACGGGAGTCTATTGACTCCCTTTTGGAGTCAGCCTCAAGTGGCCATTTGAGGAACTGCAGGTTTTAACACAGCATTGGCTTCATTGGAGAAAAACAGAAAAACGTATTCTGCCAGTCAGTGCAGCAAGTGATAAAAAACAATTATATTACTATCTTCCTGTGTTTTATGCCAGAATTAACCAACAATCTGGTTTTCTTTTGAACAATGAGCAATGTAAAAACAAAGATGTGCCAGATATACTGAAGACTCTGATCTAAAGTGTCATCACCATCTCAGCATGGTTGCTCAATGCATGGTAATGAAATGTCAACATTTTGCACTTGCATTGGATGATACTGAACTTCTGTGCATATCCTGTGTCAGTGCAGTTTCAATCTCAGCAGCAAATTGCTCAAATGCAGAGTGGAGATTGCAAAGCGCTAAAAACCGTTCCTACAGGAGTCATGGTACTAACCTAGCAGATTGAGTTTCTGTGACTCTAATGTGTGTTTCCACATGTGATGAGAAAACGCTCAGCTCCTCAGCTGCCACAGGATGTGGCACACTCCACATGTCACGTCACCTGAAGGAAAATATAAACCTCACAATTCTTCTCACTGCTGTTTCCACTGCTTTATTCTCCTCATCACACATTCACTTTCCTTTGTATTGCTTCATATATATTCCTTCTATCTGTGCGCTGAATTGGCCAGGACATAAATTAAGGTGCACTATCAAATTCACTCACGCTACCATTTTCCTTGCACAAAGGCATTCATCTGACGCAAGGACAAATCCTGTTGACAAGGTTTTACCATGCACATGGGTATGACCGTCACAGTGTCGATAGAGAACAGTCAGCTGCGGGTGAGACATGTGTGTTTGTGCACGGATCATATCATATTCCGAAATAGGATCTGAATGCTTGATTGCTACCTGCCAAGGGGTTGTGGGAGATTAGAGCAAGATTAAATTTTAGCCATGCTCTGACGAGCTTGCTCCCCTTTTCTGACATAATTGAATTGTTTGGGCCATATTTCATTTTCAATTGGCTGGTTGTCACCAAAGATGCATAAACACAAAGGAAAAGAATAAAGAAAGCACATCACCGTCGACTCTGACTGTCAAATTACACGGACAATTGCATGATAAGGGGCTATGCAGCGTCGCTCAGAAATGATCTGTGCTTCACTGCTGGGACTTTTTTCACTTTTTTATTGTTTGAAATGATGCTTTTGAAAGGAGAGCAGCAGTGATTGATGAATCACAGTTCTTTTTGGCGCACACGCCACTGAAATACTGTTATTAGATATTAGTCATTACAGTCCTTCTCCCTCCAAACCCAAATTCCCGTCACACTCGTCTCTGCAGCGCTTCTTTTGTCACATACAGCTCTTTTTTACTTCATACTATCTCTCGATTCCTTTTGTCTTTTTTTTTTAATTCTCTCTCACTCTCATTCTTTCTCAAAATAAAACAAGGTTTCCTTTCATTTTTGGTTCAACATTCTATTCTCTTTTTTAGTTTTCCAGTCTCCTGCACTCCTTTTAGGCCTTTCTCCTCACTCCCTCTTTCTATTTCATCTACATACTGTATTTTTGTTAAGTTTGTCTTCTCTTTCTACATGTTCTTATTTTCACGTCACAGTCTTTCTACTTCCTTTCCTCCCTGCTTTTCTTTCATATAAGATCAAAGCATGTCATTGTGTTATGTAGAGAGAAAGACTAGAGTTGCTGCAGGAGCGTAACCGTTTTCTAAAAAACATTTAGGTCTGGTCGGCTGGCCTGGGATTTAGCCGGTCTGCTGCTGGTTTTAAGGACAAAGCTTCATGACCAGGGGTTAAATTGGGATTTGTGAACAGTGGGGGAGGCAAAGCAGCATAAAAACAGCAGAGAGAAGGCAAGTTACTACCAGAAACAGCAAGGAGAACCAAGACTTGCTGACAAGTTGTTTGGTCAAAGTGGAGCTAGTCTGAAGTATTTGATATCCTGTTTGTCAGTGTCTACAGCAGTCCATCAATATTTAATCATTTAAAAAACACCAGGCTCTGAACTGTTGTGAAGCCAAGCTGGAAACACTCAAGTAAAGTACAAGTATCTCTAAGTTATACTTAAACACAGTATTTGAGCAAATGCACATCGTTATATTCCACAGTACATTACCTTCAAATTAAACATGTTTCAGTAGCTGAGGGAGGTTACGGGGAGTGTGGGGCCGGCGGGTTAGGGTTCCTGAAGCTACGGGGCACCCACCTACTGAAACACCACTACCCCACTGGTTGACGGTGGGTGGATCTGTGCTGGGAGTGACAGAATGCTTTCTTACTCCATCTTTCTTCATTTTCTGTCTTGACATAAACATCCCTCTCTCTCTCTCTCCACTGACACCATGGGTCTCTCTCCTTTGCTTTTCTGATCTGAGTGACTGTCATCATATCTGACAGCACAAACAGGAGAAGGATGATAAACAAGATGCTTACACCAAGGAGACATCCTTGGCTGTCCACACGCAGTGAGGATACAGTCACACACAGTTTGAGTTGAAATTGACCTGTCTACCTTAAAGTCCACCCAAGATGTTTTGTTCATGAATTCCTAAGGCTCAAACTGTGGCCATATATTCAGAGCCACTGATGGTGAACAACAGAGATTTTTCACACTGTAGATTATTTGATCAGATCTTTTAGTCTTGTTTTCATTGTGAAACACTGGTTGTCAATGAATATTTGTCATCATAGTTTTCGTGGACAAAATGGACACAGCTTCCTTCTCACCTCCTCGCCTCTTCCAATCTTTCCCTCTTTTCCGTTGATGTCTTTTCAGCCAAATCATGTTCTGGTTTCTCTTAGCTTCTTTAGTCTCATCTTATGCATCTCATGTTCATTTCCCCTGATACTGGATGTGTTGCTCTGATGTTTGTTGATTCTGATGAGCATCTGAATGTTGATTTGGAGACAAAGAGGGACTGATAAAGAAGAAAAGGGAGATAAGTATGGCCGCCCGCTGCCAAAGATGTACCCACTGATCTTTAAGACTACCCAGCACAACACTGGTTCTGGCTCCTGCAGACAGACATTACTGGACAGGAGCGCTAAATGCCCATACATTTCTAGACCCAAATCCTGCTTCTTCACCAGGCTTGATCTGTTTGCTTCTCATACAATTCAAAGTTGGCAAGATCTTCAATGCACTTGTGCAAATTAAGTAGGTATTGTGGCTTCAAGTGCAAATCCAGAAAAAAACAACTGAGAAAAAAAAAATCTCATAGTGCCTTTGATGCAAAACGCTGAGCACAGTATAGAGTTCTATTTGGGCAAAATTATAATAAGAAAAATCTGCAATAAATGCATATGATAAAGCCTATTATGATGATCTACCATTAGCAATGCATCATAAATTTAAATATTGGCAGGATAATGAAAATATGATGTTTCTGTGACTGGTACTGAACATTAGACAGCACTGTTTGTGTGTGTGTGAGTGTGAGTGTGTAAACAAGAGAAAGACAGAATATTTGTAAATGCTTTTTGGATTAATTATCACTGTAAAGGGAGAACAACCACACAAATTGAATAGATATTTAATTGGCTATTGGATTAAACTGGACCTGCTGTCATTAAAGGCCAGGAAAAACAGAATGGGTAGGAGACTGGAGGGAAATGCACTGCACTGCTGCTCTTTTTGCCTCATGGAGCTCATTGGACAGCTTCTATAAGCTGACTTTATCTGCATCTTTTAATTTTTGGCAATATTTTCTACTGCTGTCAATAAAGTGTGAAAAAAGAAGAAATTTACACCTGTTTTTCCGAGAGGTAAAATGCAGTTTTCTCGGCTATAGTGGTTCATTTCTATTCTCTCCATCCATTTTTTTGCACCTCTGAACAGAAACACCTTAACATACATATTGCATGAGACACAGATTTAAGTGTTTTTCTTTCATCTTACCAGTGTAAAACCTCAGTCAGGCTGTTTAATGAATAAGGAGAAACACAATTTGAATGTTTAGCATCTAAAGAAAGGAGATACAGTCGTAGTAATGCACTGTATGATCTTATAACATGGATACTCATACTTTCTCTCATTCTCTATCAAGTTCAGGAAGGCTTGTGTGAATCACTGGGCATTTGTGTTTATTTACTAAGGATTTGTTGTCTAGTCAATTTATTGTAAATAAACTGGTCATGTATTACATATTTCTGATATTAAAATTTGTTTTATGTACGTTTTCCTTTCTGTCACAGCCTCATTGTCACAGTGCATATAGCTGTGTTGTCTGATATCAGAACTATGAATGAAGCTAAGGAATAGTTTAATTTTTTTAATAATCATCTTAATTTCAAATCCACCTTCTAGATCTACTGTCTGACCTCATCGGAAACCAGCAAATATTCACATTTGAGAAGCTGGATTCAGGAAGTTTTAAGCAGCTTCTCATGAAAACTACTTTAAATTGTTAACAGGAATCACCACCAATCATTTTAACTCAACACCAATCACTAAATGATGCTGCATATGACTGTTGTTTTCTGTATGTGTGTGTGTGCTAAAGTGAGTGGTGTATCTCTTTCAAAGATTTAGTAGGTTTGTGGCTTTGCGTTTTATTACACTAAACATGTATTAATACAGTACAGATTAAGGATAAATATTATGAGTGTTCACACTTCGCACTCATGTCTGTGTTTCTGTTCACATACTGTACGTGTACATGAGTGCACTCTCACACATCCATCTATTTACAGTACATGTCAATGTATTTGTTGCCCGCTGTGATAAAAACAGATGTAGACTCACCGGAGCTCTTTAAACGGCTCGGCCCTGACATGCGGCGTTTCCAATGATTTGCTGAACACAGCTCCTTCGGCCCCTGGAATCACAGAACACAGTGTCAGACAGGAGGCCGTCGTCAGCTGAAACCAAATCCTCTCGTCTGATCGATGGACATAATCACCGAGATCCTGCCGATCTATAAGGCACGAGCCAGCGTGCACAGCGGCCCCCAGCTCACCTCGCCTCACTTACAATATTACATGTACTTGCACACATTTGTTAGGATGGAATACTCTGATGGAATATTATGAGGATATTTTTAAACCAAGGCCTTTATGTACAGCATGCACTGCCCTCTATCCTTAGAGCCTCACTGTGGATAAAGACAAAACAAATCATCATTGGGGAGAGACATGCACTAGATCACACAAACACAAAATAGACAGAAATATCAGCAGTAGAATTACAATGTACAGAAGCCAAGAACTATCACGTAGGAATGCTATAAAACACCAGACCTACAGAATAATAGAACTGCAGAATGAAACCAGGAGCTGCAAAGTAACAGAGCAACAAATCTGTCAAATGACACGGCGCACTGTGACATGCTGCTACATAATGCACCACTATGTTATGTGCTGCTGTGATGCAGCTGGTGTGTGGGTAACTTTCTGCAACTCACAACAGCTTCATCAAACTGTTGAAGTGTGTGTGAACTAGATGTTAGTAACTGGCCTGTTAGCTCATTAGGAGTTAAAGCCCTAACATTTAGCTTAAGGCACAACTGAGACTAATGAAGCCCAGTTTTGATGGTTGTTGAGACTGACAAGCTGACTGAAGCCGGCCTTACACTAGAAGACTATGATAAGACTAAAGACTAAAGTCTGACATCCTCTCACATCTAAAAACAATGTGTCTATAGTCACAGTTTCTAGTCACATTTTGCCAAGACTGGGGATCGTGCAGGGTCACTATATATAACCAGATTTTCTCTTGAGACCACTTCCCATATGCTCCTGCGTTTGGCTACAGCTCTGCTTGTGTGTGCAGTGCTCAGAAAAAACAGCCAAATAGAAAAAGAGAAGACACCACAGAGTGTGGACACGACCCTGTTGACTGAAAGGGGACAGCGAGGCCTGTCCACCTTTTCTCTTTCTCCACTCTGTCGAGATACAAATTGGATGACACGTCAAACCGACAGCTCACTCCACAGCTCCACCAGTTTCTCCTCCGTTATAACCGTCCAACAGAAGGCACAGTCACCGGAGTGTCCGTCATATTCACCACTGTTCCTGTGCCTGCTGTGCTGCATCCTGATTGGTGCTGGAGACAGCTCAGCTATTGGTTGTTTACAACGTTCAGATCATTGTCTGCATGAGCCAAGACTAAATCTTATGATAATATTAAACAAGTTTGATTTTATTGGAACATCAAGACGAGAAAAAAAACAACAGCTCAGGTCACCACCTTACACCAAACAACTGAGATGACGTGAGCGCGACACAGCAAGACCCCCACAATTTTATTCTAACACTGGAAATTCGTTTGTGATACGAAACCGCTTGAAAAGTCATCAGGTGTACAGCTAGCATTATGGAAATAAATTAGTCTGAGTACTAGTAAGGAAAGCACAGTTTTTGTCCAGCAGTGGTACAGTAAGTATTGTAGAACAGTACAGACGTGCGGGACAAAAACTGAAGCTGTCCAAACAACTCTTTATGGTGAGTACTGAGCATCACAAGGACACAGGTTTAGCAGTGTGCGTTTCTACATTCAGTCATTAGACACCTTAAATGTAAACAGTAGAAAGAAATAAACTTAACTACTTTGTCACCTGAAGTATGACTTACATTCCAGTACTCGACTGTGACAAAGTACTCGCTTACAACATTAAAGAAACAAAGCGATACTCGGCTGGCTCCTCATCCTGAGGCTCTGATTGACTGTAGTGTCGATGTAGCAGCGCAGCTTGAGTAAACCGAAGCACTCAGGTACATCAAATCAACAAAGCATCAGGTGCACATCAATAGCCATGACAAAATGCATTTCACAGCATTTTGAGTCACTGCTGGGAACCTGAACGCCTCCTACTCTCTGGCACGCTTCATTTTTACTTCTAAATTAGATACAAACAAAAAGTACACTTACACAGGAAGCTCAATAAATATAATCCCTCACATAAACACAGAGCAGATCAACACAGCTAGTACTTAGAGCATCAAATTAACAATTTAAATACAAAGCAGATACTGCACAAACAGTGGGAAATCTCTCTTGAAAGCAGCACTAGTCAGTGCAACCACAACTCAAACCAGTAACTTGCTCTTATTTATCATTTATGTTAAAGCCAGCTGGACAGAGGCGGTTGTATCAGGACAAATGTGACTTTTTCAAATAAATCAGTCTCTTCCTAATGTCTGGGCATAAACAACCTTCTTGTCCCTCCAGGGAAATGTGTTGTAACAGGGCTCAAGTTGTCAAAAAGTCAGAAAAATAAAATTTTTATGCAAAATAGCTCCGGTTCAAACATGTGGGACAGAATACTCTCCCCTCAATGACAGCCACAGGTGGACACACCTGTTCTGTTTCTTGTTTTTCCCCAACTGGACTGAACCTTATTAAAATTTTGCTTGTGCCTGTTGATGAGATGAAATGTCATACTGACAGTTTTATACTTCCTGGGTAATCCTTAAAACGTAACACAAGTTAGGAAATAAGCAGCAACAAGTGTGATATTTTTTTGAGTCTAAATTTTAAGAAATCACCTAAATTTCCTGAGAATCAAAACAAAGCTGATAGTTTACACATGAAGAAAACAGCTTACGAGTACTGTGGCGACATTTACATACGTGCCGCTCAGTCACTTGGCATCAGTGTACAAAGAGGATGTAAAGCAAAGTGGAAGCCTCGGTGCACGTCGCTGCCTCTTTCCTGCAGTAAAAGTGAGTGAACATAAAACACAAGCCTCACGTTAGAAATCCCAGTTCTGAGACGGAGTACAAAGAACAAAAAGCTCTTCACTTTGCTTCCTGGCTGTCACTCCGCCTTAACTCGTTAGTTTAAAGCTTAAGTGTCACTTTATCTTGTTCCTACCAACACTTTTATCACCTGTACAGCTCAAACAAAGTGAGATACTCACAGTCCGTGAGTAGAAATAGGTTTTTATTTTAATACATATATAGTGTATGTAAATATATTTAATACATACATATTTATCAGTGGTTGAAGAAGCAGTCAGTACTCGGTTTGTATTTTTAGAGTAACTGATTCCTGGGGGCAAATATTAATGCAGGGAGCATGATGTCTGGGCTGTACCAGTTATTAAAATAACAATAAGGTCAAATGTAAGGTTTGACTTGTGCTAGGTGAAATATTAGGGGATCCTCCCAGCCATTAGAATTCATCCTGTGGGGACCATGAACATCTGCACAAACGTCTGTGGTAACCCATCCAACAGTTGTCCAGTATTTCAGTCTAAACACAAGTTTGAGGTGCTATTGTGACTAAATCAATCCCATAGGAATCCACATTATGGCTCTTGTAGAAACTCTTCTTCAGACTTTTTCAACTCAGCACAAGCAAAGCCGTGTACGTGATGTGATGAAGGGGCACAGCCCTTACAACAAAAGTGCAGACTCCTGGAGGACAGTATTTAATATCCCGAAGAGACCTGCCTGCTGAAGTCCTGCAGGACCACAGGTTTAATATTCAGCCATTTAATATTTTGCTCTCTCTGCCCTCTATTAGCTTTCTCCCTCAATCTATCATTTGCTTGCTCTCATTATCTCTGCTGCTGCAGAGTATAGAATGTTCTCCCCTTTAGTATTTCAGTCAGACTGCAGGTGTAGCCAACCAGCCCTTTCTAATAAATAGCCAGCGCTCCCTGCTGAGACACTTTGCCCTTTCTCCTCTGAATGATGTAAGGAAATCAGCAGCATTTACTAAAGGGTGCGTTTCTCCACATCAGCAGTAAGTTTAGACTGTCAAATAGTAAATGCAGCCAACAGATTAGAGAAAGGTAAGGGAGTGGAGGGAAATCAAAGTAAATACAGAAGAAATAGAGAGGAAAAACAGAGAAAGGAGAGAAACTGACAGAGAAAGCAGAAAGAAAATGTGAGGGAGCAGGCCAGAGGAGAAAGAGGAGCTAACTATGGCAGCCTGGTGCAGATGGATCTCTCTTGCTCACCTCAAGTTCAATTCATCACATACAGTATGGAGCCGGTGGATTATAGCCCGGTAGGGTATGATGTGACACGCCACTGACAATTTCTCCCACAGCGCAGGTGAGTATAAATCATTTACTCTGGGTCATATCACTGCCCAACTTCTGCTTTTTATTTTTTACCCCTGCCTAAACATGCTGACAGAGCGTGGAGACACTGCTGCCAGAGTGACAGGTGAGCCCGACAATGATCTGCAAAAAGGTGTGACACATTTTAACAATGCCGGTGTGGCATTGTCGACACAGCCGCCATCCATGATGTCAGCCACAGCATCCGTCCCAGCCTGCTCCGACTGACAGGCTGTCAGCCAAAGCAGAATAATACCATGAACATTTCTACAGCCGCTGCTGGTGGTGTGGAAGATTACAGAGCAGTTTTCGGCCTAACAGTTCAAATCCTGAGAAGGAAGTTTGTCAGAACTCGTCGGGGATGAGGCCAAAACTTGGCTCATGATGTCAGTATAAAGATGAGAGGGATTATTTTAGAACTGGTGGGTGTGGAAGAGTTTTGATAGCAGTGGGATACAGGCACGGGTGCTCGTTATTAGCCATGTTCTCCACAGGCTAACGTGTGGCGCTGCGCTGCCAAATTATCTGCCTCCAAGTCACCTGCTTGACCCCAGATCTGTGTAGGAGTTGCCTCTCTCAAAGCCTCACATTAAGTCCACAGCCTCTGTTTCACACTGTCTTCTGTCTTTAAGGCATTTAACAAACCAGCCCTGTTACTCTTACTTACCCTGTTAACCTTACTAAGAAATGTATGCAAAACATCTCTTGGGTTTCTTGCTACTAGAGTTTGAACCTTACTAAGAAATGTATGCAAAACAAAGATGACAGACTCAGCTGGGCAATCCTCTACTGTAAGTATCGAGTGG